AACACAAAAACTACTCAAGATGTTATCCATCAAAATTAAGAGCAAGAACAAAAATAGTTCAATATTAATGTGTAATTTTCAGTATTGTTTACCAATAAAGTACCAAGTTATGATTAATTTACATTTATAAAGAGGTGAAACAATACTTTAGAAAAAGAATAAGCAAATATATATCTCAACGAATCCAATATTGAGGTCTGAATCGCTTGACCGATCATTTTATTAAAGGCACCAAGGCACAATCGAAAACTCGGCCGCAGAAATTTCTGTCGTTCCCCTTGGTGTCCTAAGACCTAAATGGTCAATCCAGCAGTGCCAACTTTGGCACGCAAGCACGGCTATATAGCATACGAAAAATAATAACTTTTTTGTCAGACTAATATTTTTTGGTAAAGCAATTCCAATTTTAGTCTAATCTCATTGTTTGAAGGAAATCTTATCTTTTTTTTTTCAAAGTTCTTCGCATCACAAATTTCATTTGGCGCATGGAAGAATTTTGTCATTGAATTTAATTAATTTTGGCACGCGAAACGAAAAAGGTTGTCCACTCTTAGTCTAATGCAGGCAACCTTTTTAATGCCGCGGCCCTTTTCGAATGAGGAAGTCACTGCGGGTCGCAATGTTGAATATATATATATATATATATAGATATATAATATAATACCAGTTCTGAATTACGTTAGAATTTGCGCGTCGCGGAATTAAATGCTTGGATTGCACAGAGCTATTGCGATTATCTGAACACAATATGCAAGTATTTTTACTCAGTGAATAAATTTCAGAAGTTTTATTTAACGCAAAAAAAAAACCCCAAAAAACAGTAGCAAAGGTGCAATACACTTTTTAATATTTTGCAGGATATTCAAAGCCTAAACAAAAGATAACATTCATAAAGAATTAAATTTGTGTTGCAAATTTATTCCTATAATTTTCCTCGAGCAATGATCACTAGAGCCGAAGTAAAATGCAATCGATGTCTCGAAAATTTTCATCCCGGTCGTGCCAATCGCGCGTTTGAACGACGAGATATGATTTGTTTAATATTATTTCACCAATTTTTTTACAGGAGGTGTCAACTGGTGTTCAAATTTGTGGGCTGGGTTAAGTTTAGTTTATTTAATTTAAAAAAATATTGTGTGGCCCACTGTGAAATCTTCGGCTGACTAAGGGTTGGACGACCCTGGTCTAATGGCTTTTTTATGATAATTAACAGCGACATCGTAGGAAATTGTGGTAAAGCTTTCCCATTGATCAATGTACCGCGACACTCTAAGATGGTGATTTTCAATCTTTGTGATGGAGCGAAGACCCAACAAAATATTGAAAATTCTGAATGTCTTGTACTAAATAGACCATGAATATATATATATATAGTAAGTAAATCTAATAAATACTGGCAAAAAATAAAAAATGATATTTGAAGTACATCATGTTTGATATTAGTGGCAAACAAAAACCCTATTTGATTATATTTAAATAAGATACATATAATCCGGACTTTTGGATTTCAATAGACAACTTGCGGAATCCTTCGACTGTACGCTACTGGCGGAACCCCGATTGAAAACACTGATATACAGCGATCTCCATATTTGAAATATTAATTTTGTTTCAGATTATTCGGGGCCTTGTTCTGAATGATAACTTGTTATTGTAGCATTTCTAAAAAAATACATCGGCTACAAGGAAGAAAAGTGCTAAACCATGAATTTTGAAAAAGATAATCCCAAAAATCGTGAGGTTCATATTTATTTTAAGATATATATACAAATGATTGATGAGACGCCATCGTCTAAATCCGGCGAATGCCGCGTCAGGTAGAAATGTCTTTTGACCTGTACTGTAGTACCCGACCAGTATCGGTGGTACACTAGGTCCGAATCTTCCATGGCTTGATAATAAAATTTTATTTTGATATTTCATATGCCGATACTGTGAAAATCTAATTTTTTTTTATTTTATAGCTGTCCGTTATCAAAAAAGTTCGAGTTTGAAGTTGTTACTGTCGCGGTCGATTAGTTGTTATTGCATAATTTCAGCATTTTTACACGTTCAACTGGACAATTATTGAGCGTTGGATTCAAAATATACTGTTACGAACAGCACGAAAACAGTTTGTTTACATTAAATATTCCCCAAAGGCTTTACCGCTCTGTGGCGCTGGTAATGGTAATCAAAATGTTGTGTGTAACTGTAGAAAATATGTCTCAATCGCCATGCATGTATATATACGTTTATAGCGAGTATGATGATTTTCATCATTTCGGGATCGGCTTATTATTTAATTCAAAATCTGGATTTTCAACGCTGTGATTATCATATTTGAAGTTGCCCTTTTATGTATATTTATTGTCGTTAATTAAACTGTAGGCCTACTTTCCGGGATTTTATAGCAGATCTCGGGATTTTTACAACGGCGATAACGAATTAGCAAGAGCGCGAAAATATGTATCAAAACTAAATACAAACAAGCAGTTTATCCTGCATTATTATGTCCGCAGATTGCCCTGTTATTTGGGGTCAGTAATGTTCTTATTTGGTGGATGCAATCGCGAGTTGCGAGACAGTTTGAATTCCCGTAGTTGTCATGGATTGAATATTACGCTACAACAAAAGTCGTTATGGGCCATTTTAACGAATGCGCAAACGGCGGCGACCGCTCAGAAGCCCTTGCATGGTAATTTGAGATTCTGATTTTGATGCGAGTTTACTGCCCGTCTTATTGGGAGGTTATATGCAAAAACCCGTCCTATTTACCGGGTCGACTTATTCGCCGGGAAATACGGTACTGATTCCCGGGGAGAGGAAAGTCGATAAGACGGCTTGATCTTATGGCGGAACACGGCCACTCGTCACTTCACGGGGTCCAGGCGCGGCAGTGTGACTCTTCGTGCTAAACGTTAGGAATACGCTCGCCACCGTACCTCTGATTACTCTGCGTGGGTTCATAGGTTCGAATCCCATGCAGGGATAGTTATGTGCGAGAGGATTGCTGGACAGCCTCCCTCCACCATCGAGTTCATGTTTCCGAAAACAAGAAACTAACTAACTAATCCCATACCCGACATGAAATGGTAGTCGGACGAGAGGCCGTGGTTCGCCATATGGTTAGGCCGTCGTCTTGTTGCCTTTCCTTTCCCCGGGATAAATACGAGAATGTGAATCCTATCCTTCCTAAAACCAGACACTCACGAATTCGGGCACTTCCTTAGGCACCATTTCATGCACTTGGATTTTTTTCCTTATTTCATCCATAGTTCATTGGGATTTCAAATTTATTATACCTTGAATAAATTTGTGCTTTTCTATATCATAATAAAACAATACTTTTTTCTAATTTAAATAGATAAAATGTGGCAAGCCTGAGCACAAAATCAGGCATTCGTGAAATTTCAGGCACTTTACATAAACATATTTCCCAATGCAGCAATGTTAGAAACAATTTGTATGATTGAATTTTGGTGAAAAGGGGCGATTGCGACTTGTGAACGCGTGTCAAGTTTCGCAAGTGCCCGATTTTCCACTTTTCTCCGTGATGATTGCCATATTTTTCCTAGATTATTTCCGTCAGAACTTACTACACTTCGCTTTCTGAATATTTTTTTCCCAAGACAATACAAGCATTTTAACAATACAAGAAGCAATACCGGTACTGGTTGTCAATCCCACAGTCAATCATCTTATATTTTGATATCGTGGATTGGTTTCTACTCAGCCTCTCATCCCAACATTCTGTAACCGCAGCAGTCCTCACCTTATGAAAATATTTAATCAGTTACCGGTATTGCATGCTAGGTGAAGTCGCATATGATCAGCAGTTAACCATGGTTATACGATACCGTATCCTACGGCAACGATTGGCCCAGTTTTCCTTTCACACATAATTATCTCTCACTGGATTCAATGCGAACCAGAGTACCGTACAGTCAGATAGTAGTAGATACCTCGTCGGACCTTACTGTAGATCAGAACCGGTAGGCGGGAGGTAGTGAGGTACCCGTACGGTACTGGTACCGGTACCCCCGTAGCGGTGCGGTATAATCTGACAGTGTAACATTGTTTATTGAAACATATTAACATAATATAACGTTCGATTTCAAGATAATGTAGGACATTCTATGTTTAAAAGTTTAAGACCTAAACCCAAAATAAAGTTTATCGCAGGAAATGATAACTGCGTTTTATGTAATAAATCAATCTATCTAATAAAGAACCTGAATTTAATTAACGTTTGTATTGGAAATGTGTACCGGTATTTATTTATTAAGCACATTCAGTACCGGTATATGATTATTTTCATGACATTATTAAGTTTTGTAATTGTCATTTTTGAAAACGTGGACCTAGGTGGACAGGCGTATCAAAATGCCACTTCTTATCAAATAGATCAGGGGTCTGGAACCTTTTTGGTCGATAGAGCCATAAAATGTACATATTTTTAATTGCATTAACGTGCGAGCCATACAGCGTTTTCTTTCCTTAGTTATGTCTTAAATTTTTGCTCAAAAGTCAACACATACAATGTCTCAATATACATTTAATGTGACTTCTGATGCTGCATGTTGTCCCTGAGGGTCGTGAACGACTGCTCACAAGCAACACATGTCTGCATGTTGAGATCCACGATACTCAACGCGTTTCTTTATTTTAGGCTTCTCCATTGTTCTAAATATTGCAAATAAACTGCACAAATGGACGGAAGGCTTTTCTTTATTGCTCCGCAACTTTTTCGATTGTCACAAAATATGTTCCAGAATCCCTTAGTTTTGTCACAATGGCCCTCTAGCACTTCCCTCACGTAACTTAGACAGGCGCTGAGCGCGTGTTCTCAAATGTATTAGCAAATGTTCTGCCGAATTTGGCTATAAATATATAGTTTGAAATTCTGTAACAATAGTAAGCTTGGCCTTGAAATGTCAGATTTTTCTGCGAGCCATATGCCGTCACTAAAAGAGCCATATATGGCTCGTGAGCCATGGGTTCTCGACCACTGAAATAGATGCTTTGATATTGCTCCTGTCTACTGTCAGGTTTAAAGTACTTAAGTACGGGTGGAACAAAATGGTGTTATATTTCAAGGAATCACACCAGATGTAACAAAAGTGGAAGAAAAAATTAAAAGGGGTTTGAAACACAGACTTAATTTAGAATGGCACAAAATACAGAAGTAATTGTTAGACGCCTGAATATTTACCAACCGTTTATATTCATGTTTATGTTTGTTGCATATTACTTGCATATGGTTCCAGTGACATAAAAGAATAGAAGGAGGATTTGTTAGTCCCGCGGAAGACTAATCAATAGTGCAATGTGACATTTTTATGTTAATGTGTACAAATAGTTTTTACACTTGGACAGTGAAATCGATATTTGTGTCCCAAGTTAGTTTAGAACTTTTACGAGTAATTGTATTTATTTTCTTTCACTGATTTCAGTTATGTTCAGTGTAACTTTAATGTAAAGTTGTTGTCTGCTGATATTTTCAATTCTGAATCTTGTCCCTTGAATGCAAAATGATAAAAAGTAGAATATGCTTCCATCTTAAAACTCAAATATGCAGAATATGACTGACACAGCACAAATCTCAAAACCTGTGGAGTTAAGTTCAATCATTAACGTTGTGCAACATGATGGACCAAAACCTGGAAAATTGGAATTGAAAAGTGTTGTTTGCTTGGGACCAAATGTTTCAAAAAAGTCTAAAGAACCAGGAGTTAAAGGTCATGATCTAAAAAGTTCATCCAAAGTGTCAAAAGTGTATCTAGAGAAACCGGTGTTGTTGTTACCATTCGGACATCAAGTTAGTGGACGTGCAAGCATCTTATGTTACGATGAAACAACACTTCTGAAACCATACGTTTCGAGGGAATTGTTTTTCTATCAAACACTACCGCAAGATTTGAAGAAATTCACTCCGCAGTTTCGAGGTAAAATTAGAATCTTATGATTTTGGGGTCTCATGTAGTTTCGTACCTAACATACTTCTAGTGGGCGTAGCATGACAAATTTTTCACGTATCAATCCTAACCCCCACCTGATTACACCATCCAAAATTCACATCATTACAACGTCACAGTGACGTAATAGAGCCCTTCAAACTATATGAACTGCCATCCAAGACGCCCAAACGAGCACCCGAAATCGAACAGTTATTTCTCTCGTTACCGTCGCAACGATTCCAATAGGAAAGAGATCGATAACGTCAGTCAGTTCTTTATCGTCGGCGCCAATGCCATTTCGGGCGATCATACGTATATTTGGCAAGCTCTATGACGTGATTGTGATGTCGTAGTGACGTAATTTTTGGATGGCGTAGTTAGATGGGGGTTAGGATTGAAATTTTAAAAAATTGTTATGCTACGCCCACTAGAAGTACGTTAGGTACAAAACTACACGAGACCCTGATTTTGAATAGGGGGGTGAACATACTGGCATAACTTTCCTCAATTTTAATTTTTATTCGCAAAAAACATTACTTCAAGTAAAATTTTTGTTGTTGATAGAATTATATTTTAACGAGTATTAGTTTTATACGCTATTTGAATCATCAAGAAATTATCTTCTGGGAGCCATGAATGAGGCCATTTATTACATTTTTATGAGAATTTGTTTGAAGCAAACTTAGCTTGAGCAGTGGTTCTCGAACTTTTTTCTTTCGTTGCCCAAAAATTGTTGTGGTCCATTAACTTTTTATTGCAAATGAAAAACTAGCCCGGTAGTGGGTCAAGGCGCACTGGTTCAAACCAGAGAGGAAAATCACATAAGGCCACTTAAATTTTGCTTTAAGCTTCGAAAAGAGGGACAGGGGCAGTAATGAGCAAAGTTCATTTTTGCGAAGGGAAAGGGCATTGAGAAAAGTACTTAATTTTATTAAAAGACCATATATGGTTACCTTCATCTAATATATCGCATTTTCCGGCTAATAAGTCACTTTTCTGAACCCAATTTTTTGGTCTGATTTAGGGGGAGGGAGGGCTCTTATTGGGCAGCTATGCCTATTTCATTTTTTTAGAAGTCGCATCATTTTTCTTGTGAGTCTTCTCAAACATGATTTGTGTAAATTTATGTATGTATTGATATATTTTATAATGAATTCACGGCTAATTGTCAGCCAATCATAGTTAATTTATTGACTTTGGACTGCCAGCTGTTTAATTTGTCTTATACTTTTTATAACATCTGTTCAAAATTATTAAAATAACCCCTTTGTTGTTAAGAATAGTTAATTCTGCGAGTATGATTCTAACTGAAACAAACATGACCGTGTTCTAACTTCTAACCATATAAAATTATGACCGTATATTAGTGCTTAACTTACCAACAGCGAAGCAATTTTTCTGCTTCATCTTATCTATATGGAAAAACCCTCTTTTTTTTAATGCTAAAAATTGACTTCGTCTTATTTGCCCGGTAGACGTATTAGCCAAAAGCTACGGTATAAAATATCCCAAATGTCAAATTTAGTGGTAGCTCACATTGTTATGGATGAAAAACATCTAAATTATATTAATATATAAACAATTTATATTTTAGATATATTTAATATAAAGTCTAGAAATAAATCTGAATTTTGTATGTCGATGTGAGAAATTGAATCTCTAAAAACTAGTGCCGCACAAAATGCTTAGGCAGGCTGTTCCTGATAGAGATGGGCAATGTAGAATAATTTACTATTCTAGATTCAATAATCTGGATTGCTCATGCTCATCCTTAGTATAGGATAGTTGTGTTTTTTATGTCAATAATTCTGACAATTTCAGCTGGCACAAGACAAATAAGTTCAAGTCAATGTGCCCAGCTAAATCAAAATTGATAGAGTTCTCATTATTGATTAGACATTTATAATATGGCAATTTACAAAGGCACACTTACAGTATGTACTTATTGACAATCAATCAGTGAGTATTATTTCTTTATATGAAATATTCATATGCAAATTGTCCAACAATTAAACAATACGATTAAATATGAAATGAATTCAAATCCTTAATTTGTTTTCAATAGTTCCATCAGCCAGGGCTCAACTTTTTAATATCTGTGGGCGTGGCCAGACCTAAGCCACACCTTTTTCATATTTATGCTTGAATAGAAAGGACCAACCAGGCGGATCAGTCATAGGAAATCCTGTCTGTTCACGAGCCAACAAGTTTATACCCCTGTTACATATAGACTTAGATGAGACAATGTGATGTGACGGTCGAGCAATCTTTTTGCAAACAAAGGCACACACATTAAATGGCTTGGCGGCCCTGGTGTAATAAGTTCAAAGAAAAATGGCAGAAGACATATAAATGGTTATTGATTGAGACCGAATGTGTTTCCAAAGCTTAGTGCAATACAGAAGCAATCAAGTATAGCTAATTGACTAAAATATATAGCTTATCGAATATGCAGAGTGTTTTAAAATCAAAATAATGTGCATTTTTACAATTTCACATATGAGTTTAGTGTAGGACATGGTTTTCAACCTTTCCAGTGTCACAGAACCGCGATAAAACATTTCAAAGTTCCTAAGGACCCTTGTTCGATAATAATTGCCTGTGAATGTAGCAAGTTTGATAATGAAGTCAAATGTAATGAGATTTGATTACATTGAAGCAATATACATATAATATTATAAACTCTTAAATTTGAATGTGGACTTGCAGAAGTCTCAGACTATACCGACGATTGGCAACCTGCGGCTTTTTGTTCCCAGAGCTAAATACGGTTACTACTCACGAATCAAAACTGTTGGACGGCACGTAGAAGAATTTGGTCATTTAATTTAGCCGATTTTGGCAAAAAGGTTGCCCACCCCTGGGTTAGAGTAATAAACATTGGTCGCATTAAGGTGATTCTGGTAAACAAACTTCTCTCCAACTCCCAAGATCTTTTCATTTCGTTGCAAACTGAATTATTGCATCATGAGTGGTTTTCTGAGAGTTAGTTACTGACATTAGGGTGGATGTTGCGACTCCGGGTAGTTTTGAGTTTGGCAGAAAGAATGCCAAATGGCTCTTTCAATGCTAAAGGTCGTTGACCTGTGGGCAATGTTCCCTCTAATTTTTTTGTAGTATGTGTGCGCAGAAATTTTGGTGTGTGCACACTTTTTTGGAAATGACTAATATTTGTGCAAAAACCAATGATAAATTTTGGCGTTCTAATCGGGTAAAAAGTGGGCCCACAGGATATGGATATGGCCCACAGAACTGTTTCGTCTGGCCCACTTGGGTCTGCTGAATTTAGGACCATAGGTTTTATGGATATAAATTTCTATTGAAAATATCGATGAAAAAACTGTCATAAAATAATGTCCCTAATTGTCACATTGACAGTGTGCTTCTTATTATTATATAAACGTCGGCCTATCTTTGGACTGGTTGTTGTAAATGAACTGTTTTTATTCATAGTTTTCCATATTGAGTTTTGAGCCAACGGCCTACTAACTAAGTCTGTTATCTGTAACTGGCCCTCACAGAAAAGTAATTTCCTGTCCCTGTGATAATGTATATTTAAACCCTGCATGATAACTTATAAATACGGTCAGTGGCGCAGCCAGGGGGGGGGGGGGTTCGGGGTCGAACCCCCCCCCCCCCCCCTCCCTTTTGAATTTACGGTATTTTAATTTTTTTCCAGAAATCACAGATTTTGCCAATTTTTTACTCCTATTTAAATATGTTATTAGTGTTATCGATTTCTTGAATGCGAAAATGGATTCCCGTTAGCCTTGTTTAAAAATTAATGAATTTAAAGTGCCTTAAAAGCAATTGGGGTTTTCAACGCCCGATAAATTGATTCGCTTTTATCAGTTTCTCCCCGCAGAAAATTCAATTAATACGTTCAGCTGTGTTTGTAATAATTCTAGATTTCAGAAAATTGTGGTTTTCAAATGGTGCGCTTGTCAAATTTGATCTTGCCTGCCTTATTTTGGATATTTATATTTCTTTATTATGTATATGTATTATCAACGTGTTTTTGAATAAAACATACTTCACCTCCCTATCTGGTATTTGTAGCTTATTGTTAGCTATTTATTTTTGACGTGGGGCGAGAGACTTGACAAATTTTAAAAAGGGGGGTGGCTTAAAAAGTTTAAAACCACTGATCTAAATTATATAGACTAGCGCTTTTCAACCTTACTGGTAAAGCGGAATCCTAATGAATTAATCTTTTCCAGAGGCTCGAGGAACTCCTGTGCATTTGTTTGAATTGTATAAATTACAATTATATGTATTTAAGTAAACCTAATATTGGCAAAAAAAATTATCCTTGAAGTTTAGCAAGTTTGATAATAGTGGCAAACCTAAAAGCAAATACATATATTTGAGACCAGCGTTTCTCAAACTACATGTCGCGAATTTTCTTTCGCGAATAGGACTGAAATCGGAGACAAAAAAAGAAGCGACTTCTTGGAATTATTAACAATGAAATGTGGGTGTGGTTGGCAACTGAACCACGTTCAATCTTATTTGTTCCTCAAAACAGGCACACCCATCGCATTAACATTTGCAGGATAAATTTGTTCAAAGATAACTTTATTTTTCACAAGTGGGCCACAAAATCTTTTTCATTTGCTTAGTGTGCGCGAGCAAAATAAGATAACTTTATTTTTTACAAGTGGGCCACAAAATCTTTTTCATTTGCTTAGTGTGCGCGAGCAAAAAAAGATAACTTTATTTTTTACAAGTGGGCCACAAAATCTTTTTCATTTGCTTAGTGTGCGCGAGCAAAAAAAGATAACTTTATTTTTTACAAGTGGGCCACAAAATCTTTTTCATTTGCTTAGTGTGCGCGAGCAAAAAAAGATAACTTTATTTTTTACAAGTGGGCCACAAAATCTTTTTCATTTGCCTAGTGTGCTCGAGCAAAAAAAGTTTGAGAATGACTGGTATATATTTAAGAGGAAAACCCTCAACTGTACGGACTTTGCCGTGGAACCATGGTTGAAAAGCACTGTCATAGATGATATAGTAATGCCTCATTTTTTTCAGGACTTGTAACAGTGAGTTTCATAGAAGACAGTAGAACAGCATCGGTACTTGCCTACGCACTTCCTCGAACTCTTGTCAAACCAAACACTAAAAATATCATCAAATTGTTCGATGAGGAACCAAAACCTCACTCCAAGCGATGCGTTAAGGACTACGGAAAGACTCATGTCATGTGAGTAGCATTGTGAGAAATCGAGAGTTTTCAGATCCTATTTTAAACGATTTTAATTAAATCGAATTTAATCATAAATATATAAATTTTTACAAATCGAAAATTTTAATTTATCGCAATTTTTGTTTGAAATTGCCTTTTTTTGCAGTGAAATTGTGATCTATATAAAATTTCAGAGAATAAATTGTTGTGTATACATATGGCTTAGCTGTAAATCATACACTTTAATATTATATTTTATTAATTTTTTCCCAAAGCGCCTCTTCTTTCCAAACTGTCAAACAATATTTTATATAGGATATTATGGCTGCGCTTTTTATTTTTATCGTTCATTTCCTTATTTTTATATTTTATTGAAAATTGGATTTGCGTATTCAATCCTAAGGTTGTATATAGCGCCTCTTATCCTAACTCGCATGATATTCCGGAAAAACTTTTTACAGATGTACTCTGGCACATGTGCAGGGGAATACTTGGGAAATAGAGAGAATTCACGGAAATATATAGTTTACTGACATAATACCGATGTTCACCGCCTGACCACCCACGTCACACTAAAGAAACATTTGGCGATTTTAACCAAATTTGACTTTCTGAGAACAGACAATTGCACCCCTGTAGTCTTCTTGTGATTTTGCGCTCTCTAACCCCCCAGGCACAAAAACTTATAATGATTACACATCTAAAAATTCTGTTATAATAATCTCCACAGGATTTGAGTATAATTCGTAATCATTAATTTGTTAACATTGTTGTTGTAACAGTTTATTTTTCATAACCAAAATTATGGCCTTAATTTAAGAAGCTAAAAATGCATCTTATTAACCTAAGACAAAAACATGCAACATAATTACATTGAGTCACTAAGTATAGCTAAACTTAATCAGACCACTGTCTAACACTTGTAACAGCTAGTTACTAATGCGGTAAGGCGGAAATCGTCCGCTGTCGCTTGACGATAATCAGTGATTACAACACAGAGAACGATAATGTAATAATGGCGGAATATAAACGAAGTGTAGCACACTGCAACAGGAATAACTGAACTTAATTCTCATAACTATTGTATTGTAAATGTAACATTGGGCTTGTTGGGTTTATCATTAACGTTTGATGGCAATGCTGTCGCCCAACGTTTCCCAATCGTGGTAAAATTCTTTCCCAATTGAGAATTTTTGTATTTGTGTGTGCTATTACGGTACTAATATTTTTAACCTATTGTATTATTGTGATGCATATATGTGCATCGGTTAGAAACTATCTAAAATGTACAAAACCCTCAGTGTTTCGCTGAAAATGAGAGGCGCAGTTCTTATCACTTCATGGCATGGCACTTCACGGAAATACCGTCATGGATTTGCGGCAGCTGCAGACGCCACAAAATACTTAAAACTGCTTTTGGAAAATGAGATAGGGTCTTATTTCAAGTTTCTTTCGTAAAATAAAACTAGAGCTTATTTTTGGGGGAATGTATTTTATTTTCATTTATCAAAAACAGAATTATGAGATAGATAATTACGAGATTCTCAATTATACAAAATATGAAAACCGACTATCCGCTATCGACTATTTTAAGGAGAGGGCTTATTAATATCATTTTTATAATTCAGGCTGAGCCCTATGTTTAGGGGAAAGCCTGTTTTAAAATCAAACTAGGTCCTTTTTTGGGGGAAATACGGTAGTTACATCTATTGCAAGCAAATGTTCCGTTGAAGATTGAATATCAAATGCAAATAGAGTAGAAGGGGAGAAGTTAGGGTATTTCCGTAGTGTGTGTACCAGGCTAGGGTTAGGCAATAATTGTATTTCGGATTTCCTTATTCTAGCTTTATTACGAGTTTGGGGACTGTCTGTGTTAGCCAAGTGAATATACCCTCCTGCCCATAGGTTTAGGTCGCTTTACACAACTTGATGTAAGTTGGTGAACAAAATTAGTTACCTCCATATTGGTACACATACGTGCCTAAAATTAGTTTTTTATTAATAATAAGCCAAGGGTGGAATGTGTCAAAAAAGGTTTGGAACTACTGCTTCATTCACATGCTAATGTGTAACTTTCAAACACTCCATTATTCATGGTTTTATGTTTTCTGAATTTACAGATTTCCATCAATCACTCAGAAAACTACAGGCAACAGAAATGACGAGAATTTATTTGTTGATTCTTTTGAAAACATTTCTCCTGTGATTTCTGAAATCAAGAAAGATTCTGATGTTGTCAGTGAATTATCCGAGGTGAGTCTCTCCTTTTCATCGTCCTAAAAGTTTTTGCAATTTTAGAAAATTGTCCAATTTATTCCCCGAAGTGAGGCCTACTACCTTTTTCATAATCTATCACGATCGTGTTCCGATTCGTCAATCGCATTTGATGTTGACTGAATTAATAACATACCCCAAAAAATTGCCTTGAATGTGTAACAAATGAAAGTTTCACTGCTGCCAAGGTTTAAAAATGAACATGCTGAATATCATGTGTATTGACTGAGAAACGATCTTACAATAACTTCTGCAGTCAACACTCATGACTATAGGCCGGCCACAGATCTGAATTGCATGATTCGAATAAATCTTAAATAAATGATGAAAATTTACTTTGCGTGCAATTACGTAATCAAATTAACAAATCAAATGGAGCATCAAAAATACAATTTTCTGTGGCGATTTAACTAAAAATGCGCCCACAGAGCCTAGGTTATTGGCAGCGGTTAAATTTTTTGTATCGGTTTGTGCAGCTGCAGATACAACAACAGCACCCATTTTTTATGTTTAAGACCTTATTACAAATCAATTATTCTGAAGATCTTATTCGAATGCGTTCAAAAGCAGGTTGATCACCCAACTAATATACAGAAATACCTATAAAGATTCATTGCTAGAGAGTGAAGACAACGCTCAGCAAAAACAGTCTGCAAGGCATTACCAGCTAATAAAAGCTTCTTACTTTTTAGGGGTTCGATGTTACTGTCTGTATTGAAGATAAAAAGGTTTCTTCCGGCAAAGAAAATGAAGAAAATAGCAGAGTGTCCACAACTGGTTTACATAACCCATGGAATTCCAAAGTTTTAGACGATGCATGGCTTAAATTGAAGGTTTGTGAAAGTTTAAAATAGGAATCGAGACGGAACCAAATTATTTACTTTTGTAAATACATTCTGATATATTTTTGATAATACATTTCAACAATTTTAAACATTACATTGCATGATTTAACTGTTTTGTTCTTGTTCTTTAGATTGTGCTCTACTAAGATTGCTTAACTCGTGCTATAATTAATCTCAATTGATCACTATCAACAATGCTCTAGAGAAGGGCTTCTCAAACTGGGGTCGCGACCCCGCAGGAGGCTTGCATAATAACACATTCTAGTGGTCGTGACATATTATATGCATTGTACTTTTCCAGACTTTTGATTGGAAACAAATATTAAAACTATTGCAATGGTTTTCAACTTTTTTTGGGGAATGTAACCCCAACAACATTTCAGAGGCTAACTCATTTATTAAATCCTGGGTGAGGTGGGGGCATTGAATTTTAACCTGGCATATATAATTGGCGATGCCAACACTGTCGAGTCTAATGCTTTAACCCAAGGGTGTGCAGCCTTCAATACAGCTACAAATAATTGGGTGAAATCATGATCCGTACCTTCATTTAATATGAGCTGCCTAGTACAGACATGGGCAAAGTATGGCTTGCGGGCCAAATTCGGCCCAGCTGGGTAATTGAATCTGGCCCGCCTGATGCTGCCACAACCAACCTGAAATCAAATTTTGAGGTTTAAGCTAAAAGTAGCTCAAAGAATTTGTTGAGATTGCGGTTAAATTTAGTTTTGGAACGTGGCTTATTGGTTTCCACCTCCACTTTTCAACACTGTAAATATTGTTCATAAAATGTAACTTTTTACGTCACACGTACATGGCCCGCCAGTCTAAGTGGGCAAAAGTTTTGGCCCCTGGTTCAAAAACCTTGCCCACCCCTGGTCTAGTAGTCACATGCACAAAAATTTTGGTTATTGACCTTCTGACATGCGTTAATCGTTTCATACAATAACAGGTATGGGCTTTGCGACTCAAAAGAATTGGAATTACTCGCACAAGCTAGATCAAACAAAATCAAAAACTATTTTTGCGGGCCGCACATCATTCAAGATTGGTACTTTTCCGTGGGTCGCAAAATTTTTTCTTTTGGATCGTATTTCGGCCGCAGGTTGCACACCCTCGCTTTAACTGATTGGCCATCGACCTGCCTGCAAAAGTTTTTAGGCAAAATTGCTCAATGTTCACTGACTTTCCAGAAATGCTGGATTTTAACTGAATTATATATTGTTTCACTAGATTTCTAACACGGATAATCCATCTAATGGAAAGAAGAAACGCTTTACATTGTTGGAAAATGCAGTTGCTCGCTATCGCCGCCCTTGTGTTTTGGATTTAAAAATCGGTACAAGAGTTCGACACGATGCATCTCCTGAAAAAATTGCGAGACACGTTACTGCAATTAACTTGGGGGCAAGGCTCAGCGGTATGCAGGTAAATGAAGAAATTAAGCTTAAGGGCCATTGATTCATGGCAAATTAAAAAAAAAAATTGTTACCTCAAGGGTATTTAGGATAGAATTATGTGAATTTATTTATACAAGTTACGCCTCGCCGTTTTTGAAAGTTTTTTAATGCCACTAACACTCAAAGTATTCGAGCCATCCATCGAGAGCAACAAGGGTTGTGAAGTCCTAGTTTCTCTTATTTTTATCACAGTTTGAATCAGGGTTTTTCTCGCAAACTGATTTTAAACATAACTAACCCCCAGGATAAATATGTAAATCCTACCTAATTAAAACATGAAGTTTGCAATTTGATTCAAGAGTCTTGCTGCGCACTGGAACAAATGTATTTCTGTAACATTTCGTTCGGACTTCTTCAAAAAAATATTTTCCAACTATGATCAATGTTCCCTACTTTTTTGTAGTATGTGTGCGCAGAAATTTTGGTGTGTGCACATTTTTTTGGAAATGACTAATATTTGTGCAAAAACCAATGAAGAAATTTTGGCGTTCTAACTGGGTAATAAGTAGGCCAACAACAAACTTTCTCAACCTGCCAACCGAGCACATTGTTACATTACATCGAAATACGTCTGTACGCAGTAAATCTATGCGTGTGCGCAGCCTCTGAAAGCTGTGTGCGCGCGAACACGCGCACATCTTAGAGGGAACACTGGTTGTGAGTAACCCCAACCCAAAGTTAGCACTTACTATTCAACAGGTCTACCATCCTGACCAAGAGAAATTCACGTATTATAACAAATACTATGGACACAATCTCACTGTTTCTGGGTTCAAGTCCAACCTAAAACATTTTTTCTCAAGAGGAGGAATACCAATACAAAGGTATGTTGAGTTTTTTCATATCTTTTCATGTTTTGAGTTGTTTTACAATTTTACATATTTTGAGTTGTTTTACTGCTTTTCCATAGAGAGGGCTTTCTTTGTACCATATTTTCGAGCCAATAAGCTGATTTTCTGGGTTCCATTTTTGGCCTGATTTTCTGGGGTTTGCTTATTGGGCGACTCTTCTTATTTTCTTTTTTTCTGGTGTTGGATTATTATTTTTAGCTTCAAGCGGGAGAAAGGTACAATGACGTACCTTTTTGTAAGTTTTCATGATTTACAATCACACACTGGGAATATGAAATATCTTCGCTGTGGTTATCATGTTTGATGTTGCCACATTTTTACGTACATCATGAGAAAAAAGTTTCTGCTTTGACACGAGTGTGCTGTAAACACATCAAAGAAAGAGTGCAGAGAAAAAAAATTATTTAAAGAGGATCAATAAAATAGAGCGTGTGATATCACTTCATCGACGAAACTGACAAAAGGGGGAAAAAGTAACACGATTTTTCTGCCTCTTATGGGGTGGTAATATAGAAAAACCTTAATTTTTAGTGCTAAAAATTGGCTTTTGGCATATTTAAACCTGCATATTCGACATAATTTTACTTGTCCTGTCCCCATTGTTCCATATTTGCATGATTTTTCTGTCCCTTCTTACAGAGTGGTAATATAGAAAAATCTTCATTTTTAGTGCTAAAAATTGGCTTTTGGCATATTTAAACTCGTATATTCGACATAATTTTACTTGTCCTGTCCCCATTGTTCCATATTTACATGATTTTTCTTTCCAGAGTGGTGATATAGAAAAACCTTCATTTTTCGTACTAAAAATTAGCATCTGCTTATTTGATATTACATTATTGGAATCGCTGAAATCTCTCATATTCAGCATAATTTTTACTGTGTCTAAAAATGTTGTGTCCCGTCCCCATTGTTTCACATTTGTATATTTTTCATCACACTCGTCTCTTTTACTTCTGAATGAGTGTGTTGATAATCCCTCAATCTTATCCATTTGAATAGTTTTCTATCATCTTTTCTGCTGTCATACTCGATTGGATATGACTTCTTACTGTCAAAAAAATTACAACTTTTTAAATCAGGGTGGTCCAAGGTTGTTGGCTCCGCGGGCCACAAATTTATTTTTTCATTGTTCGCAGGCCACAATAGTGCCAGGAATAGATAAACAGTGCAATACAAAACAAACACTTTTATTGTGCAACACATAGTTATCAGACATAGTCATCACAGGCTAATAGAATTCGCATTCGATTTTTAGTTTTCTATGATGCCTATATTGCTAGCATATATTCCCGACCAAAAAGATGGAAAGCCAGATAATAATTTAGACTGCCAAGAACTTCATTTAACTTCGCTAGCCATAACACTAATCAATTCAGTGACATTAGTGATGCAACAATATCTCAAAAGATTTTTCTGATTAATTTGATCACGAAACAACACAAAATGCGATTTATTGGTTACTCTCCGAATGTGACGCGGGCCACAGATAATGAAGCAGCGGGCCACATGTGGCCCGCGGGCCTGGGTTTGGACCACCCTGTTTTAAATACTCTATTTTTATTTCTTTCCAGTTCGAAATCACCAACAAAAAGGAAAAATTCGTCTTCCGTTGACAAAAACCTTGTGCAGCAAGCTGTTAAGAAACTAGTAGAATTGAAAAATACAATCGAATCAATAAAATCTCACAGGTGCATTTATAACTATTTGGACTAGTGGTTTTGAACCTTTTGCTGGAGGGGAACCCTAAATAAACATTCCAAAAGCAGAGGAAATGCTGTGCAATAGTTTAATTGTATAAACCAGCGTTTTTCAAACTGTATTCTGTGTAACAGTGCTGTTTCGTGAGCTTTTTATGAGTGTTTCGCAGGATAGGAATCAAAATTGGTTGCCATGGTAACCTTGTCAAAACATAATTAATTTATTTTCCAACAGGCAGACAGGCCAGCCTCGTGCTAGTCTGGAAAGCATGTAGTTAATGTTAACCGCTCAATATCGTTCACCTTCAGCAGGATTTTTCAAATCAATTTTTTAAGTCAAATTTACAGTAAACTTTCCAATCTTACCATAGGCTAAATTTTTTTGAAACCTCCCCAATGGATTGTTGGCTTAAAACTGGAAGCCTCCAAGTGATAAGTTGTGCAAGTTGATTCACAAAGTAAACCCACCACACAACTTTTGGTACTGCAGTAGTATGTGTACCAGGTTAGGGTTGGGCCATAATTTTATTCTGATTTTCCGTATTTTAGTTCGGAATTCGGGGACTGTCTGTGTGAAATAGATGAATATACCCCTGTCCATAGGTTTCAGTCCCTTGTAAAATAGGCAAACATTAGACACATATTGGTACACATACTTCCGTAGCGCCAAATTTTTTATTATCAATTGGTGTAGAGTCGAGTTTCCTTTACTTCTGAGCGAAACTTTATATGAGAGAATTATGAAATTAACTCACAAACTTTTACAGATTCTACTCTAGTTCTGTGCTGCTATTATATGAAGGTGATCTATCGAGGCAGCGGGAGGGAGAGCAAGGCGGTTGCAGTGAAGACAATGTTGTTATAAATGACAAGTAGGTATAGGGGTAACTAGAAAAATGTTTTATGAATATCATGTGTTGCACTTTGAACAAGATTCTAAACAAGACGACATCGTTAAGTACAGAACGGTGTCTCAAATATTCATGTACCTCTTGTAATGTCAAAGCTTTAAGAGTCTGGCAACATTCACAGCAGACCCTGCGTTAAATGAAGTTGGTACTCTCGAAGTATGTGAATCAAGATGGCGGACTCCCGAACGTAGTATGTGTATCAGGCTAGAGTTAGGCCATAATTTCAGGTACAAATACTACGTGAGTCACTTGGCTAGTCCATGAACTCATAACAAAACTAAAATAAAGAGAATTGGTATAAAATTATGGCTTAACCCTAACCTGGTACACATACTATGTCCCGGACCAGGTGTCCGCCATCTTGGTTCACATACTTCGAGAGTACCGGAAAAGACTCTTATTCCCAAATACAGTTTAAAAAAACTTTTACCTCCCACTCTGACCTATGGTTGTGGAAAATTCTGATTTTGTGGACATAGTATAAATGTATATTTAGTGAATGTGCATAACAATAGTCGAAGTGACCCTTAAGTGGGTGCACCTGTAGTTTGCGTACCAAGATGGTGGACACCAGAACGTATGTATGTGTACCAAGTTAGGGTTAGAATTTTTGTACCTAAAATTATGGCCTAACCCTAACCTGATACACACAACGTTTCGGTGTCCGCCATCTTGGTTCACATACTTCAAGAGCGCCCCTAAGTACACCAACAGAACTGTAAACCCAACAATGATCCTGTACAATGATCACTACCCCTTCACAGCTGGTTGGTCATGATCTGTCATCTGTAACTGATGACATCACTGGTCATGCTCAGTCATCTGTAACTGGTCATGCTAAGTCATCTGTGATTACTCAGCATATTTGTATATGATTATACTATAACAACATACACATCCAAATATTTCGAATTTGAATGGAAACTTGCGGAACCCCCGGACTGCGCTGGCGGGGACATCAGAGTTATGTGGACACCCGGTTAAGACCCCTGTTTTGAAGGCCGTTAGTGATTACTGGCCTGTTAAGCCTTCTTCCGCCATTGTTTTCATACAAATACTGCCCTTAATAAGCTAATACCCAACAGGGGCAGGTAACAGAACGAGACGCTGTGGTCTGCTATACGATGAAGCCAATGTTTCATCTTTTTTATGAGGTTTGCCCTGAAAAGGGCTCTAGAATACATCTCTTACAATACTTTTTTTTAGACTAACTTACCAAGTATAAACATCACAAATTAACCTATTTGTTAGAATTGAAACTACCCTCAAAAAGATTATAAGATTATTAGCTCTGGGAATTTTAGTAGCCAACCATTACTTCACTCAGAAATGAATCTCCTTTACTTTTAAGTTTGGAGAACATGCGACTTTGCTTTAAGCAAATTCTCTCATAAAACACATTACAAATCAGGGATGGACAAACCAAATATACATTCTGAGAAAAATTTTGAATATAAATTCAAACGTTTAGGATGAAATTCGAAAAAGTTATTCTAAATTAATATAATTGAATCGGGTAAATGCAGAATAGTTTTTCTATTTATAGTGTCAGAAGTTTTTTCATTCAACTTCTGAAACTACAATTATTTTGAATGAAAATACTCGAAATCATTCCTAAATAAAAAGATTTGTAACATAATTATTTGTACTCCCGAGGTATGTGAACCAAGATGGCGGACACTGGAACAAAGTATGTGTACCAGGTTAGGGTTAGACTATAATATCAGGTACAAATACTACAGGAGTCACTTAGCTAGTCCCGGAACTCGTATAAGAACTAAAATAAGGAAGATTGCAATAAAATTTTGGCTTAACCCTATCTTGGTACACATACCACGTTCCGGTGTCTGCCATCTTGGTTCACATACTTCTGGAGTACCTAATAATTTCGAATCAATTACAATAAAAGGTTTGTTTTTGGCATCCCTATCACAAAAGCGACACAAAAACTTTCACAGGTTCTTCTCAAGTCCTGTTGAGATCCGGCATCAGAAACCTTGGGCCCATTCTTTCTCATTTTCCGATCTAGTGCAGAGATGGAAATACACAAAACATTTAAAGCATTCAACAGCACACCAGGTTGAAAGACATGATTCTAAAAGACATAGTTCTTATATGAAGGAAAGATGTCATAAAAATGATAAGTTTGCTCACAAATTTCATCATGACTTTCATCGAAAACGGTTTGAAAGCAGATCATAGCCTCCACGCTCTCGATCATCTGATAGGCCCCATATTCATAAAATATTTCATGAAAAAGATCATATAAATTACAGATCTCATTCTCAAAAGGAACGTAGAAAAAACAATGAAAAATCTTCGCAAATGGATTGTAAAGAAACAAAGAAAAGGAATTCACATAAAACGAGTGAAAAATTGGAACAGTCCCACAAACACAAACTACGCAACTCTGACTCTGCAAAACATCACAAGGAAAAGACAAAGTGTCATTTTCATGAGAAACATTCTCACAAACATCACAGTGATATGGACCGAATTCACAGTGAAAATGACAGTAAATTCACAGCTCACGAAGACCTGAAAAGGAAGCATTCTGATGTATTATCAAATAGTACAGACATTATTGAAGTTAAAATGATTGATTTTGCTCATTATTGTTTCCATGACGATGAAATGCATCCTGGACCTGATGGGGGATTCATCTTTGGCTTAAATTGTCTGATAGGGCTATTGAATGAGATGCTGATGTCACCAAGTTGATGGAATGGAGATGTCTCATTGTAGCGGCTTTTTGCACGGCCAATTAGAAGCATGGTAATTAATAATATATGTACAGTAATTTTTCAAGCTAGGGCATGGCTCTTTAAGTCCAAATGATCAAAGTAAGGATATAGAGTTTGACCATTGTAAAAGTTTAGGTACTGTGAACCAAGATGGCAGACACCGTAACGTAGTATGTGTACCAGGTTAGGGTTTGTAAAGTTGACAATACAACTCAGTTCAAAGTCAATACATCGATTAATACAGATTAACGAAACCACAAACTAATAATGAGCATGCTGCCCAAACAGTAAAAACAGAAGACAAAACACAATAGAAAATTATTCACGCCTGAGCGAACATAATAAATGAAGCAAAACGAAAGTGAAAGAATGCAGTGCTTGAAATGAACAAAGCAGAATAGTAACAAATTCACTGTGTTTTATTTTAAGTTTAGGAAAGATGTAATTGTCCGAGGGTAAGCGTTTGAACAAGTCGTTCAGGAGATGCCCCTTTTTTGGTAAGAACATCAGCCAATTGTTTTTTCGATTCGACCCAGCTTATGCTGTTGATTTCTTTGTTTTGAATCATCTCCTTCAGCATCCCTATTTCAACTCGTAAGCGTTTGTTGGAAACATTTTTACTGGATCGGAGTGCTTCACATAGTGATCGATTGTCGGTTATGACATCGAGTTGTAGGCTTTTGAGTTTTCCAAAATATATCTCCGCAAACATATCTTTGATAAAAACAGCATTGTCAACTGCGTCTGACAATGACAGTGTTTCCGCTGTGAGAGTACTTTTGGCAACGCGACGAATCCTCTTGGACTGCCAGCTTAGCAGAGAGCATTCATTATTTTCTCCAACCAAGAACACCAAATTGCCACCTTGGCTTCCACCATCTCTCAGGTTACCATAAGCAGCATCAGCGAAGACGACAATCTTTAATAATTCATCATTTCCTAAATTTTTGTATTTCAATGATAATTGCTGGTTTTTCAGTCTTCTTATTATCTTGTTTATATAGAGCAAATCTTTTTTCTTCCCATCTTTAAGGTTAGAAGCAAGCTGACAAACATCATAGCTCACGTCAGGACGTGTCTGATTGCTTGCCCAAAGAAGACGGCCAATATTCGCTCTTAAAATATCTATTTGAGAAGACGAAAGACACTCTGCATCATCTGAGGTCACTTTTATGGTCTCAAGGTTTTTTACATACAATTCTTGATTGATCAATATTTCATCGGCTGATTGTTGTACGTCTAGTCCCAAATATTTGAATGCCTCGTTTTTCTCCGAGCTAATTAGAAATGTTGACCTCAGTTTCGAAATCAAATTGTTCTCAAAATACTCTGTGCCAGACCACAGAATATCATCAACATGAATCCCAGCTATTCCTTGTAATTCCCCATTGCAGTATACATAGAATACTGCTGAATCAGATGCTGATACTTTTGCTCCTTGGTCAACGAGAAACTTCTTTAGTCGATTGTACCATTTGAGTGATGCATCACTTAACCCATAAACACATTTGTTTAGTTTCCATAGCTTGGTAGTTCCAGCCTCTTTGGGAGGCTTTAAAAATATTTCTCTATCCACACAATTTCCCTGTAAGAAAGCTGTTTTAATGTCAATCGTATGAAGCTTCCATTTCTTTTGTGCGACAATGGCAATAAGAACCCTGAGTGAATCTTTTGAACAGGTGGGCGATTCTTTAGCAATATCGTCAGTTTGTTCTTCAAAGCCTCTTGCGACAAGTCTGGCTTTGGGAATGATTCCATCTTCAGTATCTTTCATTGAACACACCCATCGTACGGAAATTGTTGGTTGACCAACATTTTCGACTTCATTGTAGACCTTATTTTGTCTCCAGCTTTTCAACTCTGACTTCTTTGCTTCTAGAAAGTCAACATTTTCCAAGACCAACACATCTTCATGAGTGTTTTCATCCATTTCCTTCTCGTTCAGATTTTCCACTTTATCAAAATCTACGTACCCAGATTTTCCTCTAAAACTTTCTGGATTACAATATTCAACATTATAGCTTTTCCCATATTTCCCGGTTGATTTACCTGCACGACTAAGGATTTTGGCTTCATAGTCTTCACCAGCTAATGTAAAAGAGACAATTTTGCCTTTAGTCAAGTTGAGATTACGTCTGCCACCAGTTGCTGCTTGAACTGGATTGCCAATTGCACTTTGGTCATTATCCATATTTTCAGAATCATTGCTTTCATTTGAAATTTCTGGAACAGACTGTTCCTCATCTTCTATATGATCATTACCATTAGACGAAGCGTCAATTCCATCATTAGAATCTGTTGGAATGCAAACCTCCTTTGTCCGAGGAAAATCCTGAAGATAACGGTTGGCATGCTGGACTCTGCATGAATGTGCTCTGATTAGCTGTCCGCCATGTCGTATAAAAATAACCGGTCCATCTTGCCCAATTACTTTTGCAGGGCCCTTCCAACGTTTTTGATCCTCTCTCTTATAATAAACCTCTTCTCCCGTGAAGAATTCATCCCGAGTCTGTCGGGTTTGTGTTCGTAATGCTCTTCTTATTTTTTCGGAAGATTCTGATTCAATAACTGCTTTCCTGGCAGCTTGCATTGCAAATATATTATTGGCTACAGTGAGACTTATAGATTCACCTTCCAAGGCAGGTGGGTCATCATGAGTAACTGATGGCAAAGTGGGATTCCTTCCAAACACGAGCTGGTTAGGGCTGAAGCCATTGTTATTCACAAGTGAGTTTTTTGCGCTAACAGCCCAAGCAAGTGCAGTTTCCATATCACATTTCTCAGCTGCCTTAACCTTCATCAATGTTTCTGTCAATGTCCTATTGTGTCGCTCGCAGAGTCCATTAGACCACGGTGAGTATGCAGCTGTCGTCGTGAATGTTATATTAAAATTTCCACACATATCTTTGAACACTTCAGAATCAAATTCTCCGCCGTTGTCACTCAGAATACGAGCCGGACTTCCAAAAATGCTGATCCAATTTTGCATGAATTTCTTTACAATTGTTGATGAAAATTTATTTCTCACAATGGCAGCTCTACTGTATCGAGTGAAGTGATCAATCATATGCAAATACCACATATCAGAACCTAGCTGATGTAGATCGACCGCCACTGTTTGATTAAAATCATTTGCCCATGAAAGTCCTACAACTGGACGTGGCGAAGGTTTTTTGTAAACTTTACATATTTCACAATCACTGACTGTTTCTTCAATCAGGCTCGAAAGATCTGCATTCCATTTTCCTGCATTCTGAATGAGCTTCTTTAATTTGTCTTGTGACGCATGGCCGAACTGTTTATGCAATTTTGTAATTTCAGCTTTCCCAAATTCTTTATGCCCAGTGCTTTCTGATGCAAGGATTTCATTACGACAACCAACTTCTGCCTTCATTTTAGGCAGTATATCTACCGTATAATGTCCATTGGTAGATAAATGCAACTTAAGATCTTGCTTGAGCATTACCGCACGATCGTTCTGCATGTCAAGTACAGTGCCTGCACGCTTTAGTGTGCTTTTGCTGAGTAACAATGGCAAGTTTTCTTCATTCACAATTTCAACCTCCATTCTCAGCAACGTTCGGCCAATTTGTACAGGAATTATAGCCTTTTTCTCAGCTTGAATTTCTTTCCCATCTCCAAATTTAAATCTCTTCATTGAGGGAAAAATCTCAACTCTGCTCGACAAGTTTTCGTTTAAGAGCCCAAGATAATTCCTGAACCATTTTTTACCAGCTACTGTCTTCGTGCAAGCAGTATCTACTATTGCAGCCTTGGCAGCTTCAACTTCAAAAATATCTGAAGAATTTTCATCTGTTATCAAAACCATTTGTATTTGTTCGCAAACACCATCTTGCGCATCGGAACAATAAACTTGATTCTTCTTATGTGGACATTGTTTGGCCCAGTGCATTTTTGATTCACAAATTGCACATCTAGATATATTTCCGTATTTGTCCCGTGGATTCAGTTGAGCTTTTACTGTCGATTCATGATGCTTGTATCGCTGCTTTGCTCCTCCGCCACTACCGGTGGCGTATCTCGATCTCTCTTTGAAAAATTCTTTCTTAAATTTTGGCCTACCAGTACCGGTATCACGAGTCACAAATGCATTTTCCTTTTTAATATTCGATGCAACATCATCTTCATCAAAATCATAATTCTTTTCATCGCCATCTTGCTTTGAAAGAATCCTTTTTAAGGCTGATTTCATAGATTCGAACTTCAAGTCGCTTCCAACAGTAAGAACCATTTGGCGCTGTTGATCAGTTAGGCCTGCAGCATCTAATATCTTAAAAGCCAGAATGGTATCTGGTAGCTTCATGTCATATTTTACAAGTCTAGCATACCGGTGTTCAAACTCCAGGATAAAATCCACCATTGAAATATCAGAACTTTTCTGATATTTACTAAATAGCGTGTAGGCTAAATAGGCCTCATCAGTTTTCTCTGACTGAAATGCACCATCAAGTTTTCCAAGAAGTTTGTCCAACCCATCATCATCTTTCAACTGTTCACTAGTTAACTCTGACACAGCTTTCTCAGCTTTATTATTTCCATCAAGCGACTGCAGACGCACCAAAATTGCCTGCTTTTCCTTTGGCACTTCTGTTATGGAAATCCACATGTCCAACTTATTTTTCCATTCTGCATAGCTAGTACCGCCTCCAAACCTTGGTGGTGGTATTTGTTTGGAAGTCATTTTCCTCTGTTACCATGTAAAGTTGACAATACAACTCAGTTCAAAGTCAATACATCGATTAATACAGATTAACGAAACCACAAACTAATAATGAGCATGCTGCCCAAACAGTAAAAACAGAAGACAAAACACAATAGAAAATTATTCACGCCTGAGCGAACATAATAAATGAAGCAAAACGAAAGTGAAAGAATGCAGTGCTTGAAATGAACAAAGCAGAATAGTAACAGGGTTATGCCATAATTCCAAGTACAAACACTACGGGGGTCACTTGGCTAGTTCCCGAACTAAAATATAGAAAGTTGGAACAAAATTATGGCCTGATCCAAACCTGGTACACTTACTACGTTTTGGTGTCTGCCATTTTGGTTCACATACTTCGGGAGTACCAAAGTTCATGTATAAGCCAACATATAAAAACCAAGGAGGCAATACAGGAAGGGAAACTACGAATATTGATTTTGGCCACATGGACATGATTTAACA